CAGTTCATGCAGCTTGATGGATGATTATCAAAAGATGAGAGATAAGGGCCAGGGTTGCATAGTGGGTAAAGCCTCTGCCTGTGATGCTGGTATCCTATTCAGATGCTACTTCGTGTCCCGGATCCTCTGCTTCTGATCAGCTCCCTGCTAATGCTCCTGGGAAGGCAGTGGGAGATGACCGATGTGATTGGGCTGCTGCACTAATGCGGGAGACCTAGAAGAAGCTGCTGACTGCTGGCAGCTAGCTGCTGGCTCCAGCCACTGCAGCTCTTTAGGAGGTGAGCAAAAGATGAAACAATATGTCTCTCTTACCCTCCTCTCCTCTCTCCCTCTTCTCTCTCTCTCTCTGTAAATCTGTCTTTTAAATAAATAAGTTTTCCTTTTCAAAATGAATAACATCATTTGCAGCATAATGCATAGAGCTGAAAAACATCTATGCTAAATGAGAGAAGTCAGACGTGGAGAAACAGATGTCTCCTGTGCTCCCTTATGTGAATGCTAAACAAACAAGGGCCCACACTTGGGATAACAAGCTGAGCTGCTAATCTCACATGGGCACCACTTCGAGTCCCGGCTGCTCCGTCTCTCATCCAGCTTCCTGCTGTGTCATGGAAAGTAATGGAAGATGCCCAAGTGCTTGGATCCCTGTCACCCACGGGGGAGAGCTGGATGAAGGCTCAGGCTCCTGACTCTGGCCTGGTCAGTGTCAGCCTGTGCAGCTCTCACTCTCCCTGTGTAACTCTGCCTTTCCAATACAGAAATAAATCTTCAAAACATAAAGAGAAGATAGTGTACTGAAAAGGACATGGAAATCATAATCGACCATATTGATCAGTACACACTGCACACATGCATTAAAATGCCACAGTTTATAGAAACACATACAGTAATCATGCATGTGTAGATCAGGATACATGGGACTTAACATCCCAATTCTGAGTGTGAGGCTGGCCTACCATGGATTCTGGATCAGGACGTTAAGCATGTTGCAGTTCCATTGTTCCCTCTGTCTGACACCCACCAGCTCTGGAAAAGCCATCTGCCTTGGCACACACAGCCCTAAGGAAAGGACCCGAGGCCAGGCTGTCTGATCTTCTAGTGGCCCCTGCACCCCTGGGCCGTTGCACACATCCCTGTATTCAATCAACTGCTGATGTAGATGCCACTGGGAATTGATTTTTTCAAATGCAATGAAGGTCTCCATCAGTTGGCCCTGAGACGGGGTTACTCTGGGTTGGACTGGCCCGTCTGGGGAGCCCTTTAAAGGACCGGGTCCTCGCTGTGCGCAGATTCACATGTTTGTCCCTCTCTGTCTGTGACAGCCATTCTGACAGGGCCAGGGGTCATCTCCTTGGGGTCTTGACTTGCATTTCCCTGAGAGCTGGTGCTGTCGAGCATTTTCCATATAGTGATCATTTCTAGTTCTTTCAAGAACTGCTTATTAGGCACTATGCCCATGTCCTAACTGGACTGACTGGTTTGGTTGTTTTGGTTTATTTTGGTTTTAACAAATGCTGGCACAGATGTATGCCGGAGTCCAGCTCCAGCTGAGTTTGGAACTCGCGAAGGATGCGTGGATGAGGCGCAAAGAAAGAGACGGACCACTAGGACTTCATCATCATAATGGACTATGCGGGAAAGCTGTCTGCTTTATTTATACACAATCAGTCAAACTCTGTCTCGGGCTTTTTACGTCACAGTCAAGTGGGTGTTTCCAAAGATAACTCTGCCGTTTGTTTCACCTAAGGCTAGGTTGTTATTCACCTGGCACTTGGCACCTGGCACCTGGCGCCTGGCTAGGAAAAGGTTTTCAATAGATGGTGCATATCAGTCAGTAACACATTCCTACCACGATTACTCTACAGCTTTGTCTTGAGACAGTCAAGGAAGGAAGAACTTCACAGGCGGCACTAAAAGATCAAAGAAAGAAGGAAAGAATAGATTCCACTACACCTGAAGACAGAACACCCTTGATTAGCATAGGATCAAAAGGGGAGTTAGCACCCTTGATTAGCATATTGCCACAGGATGCAGCCATAACAGCAATAACAGCTTTTTGGCTAAAAAAACGGCAACAGCAACATCAGCTTCTAAGCTCCTATTGATATTTAACAGTAACTCTGCAGAAGCAGACAATGCCTAAACAGATTACAGAAATCTCAGTGGGGTTGTCCGGTGTCCATGCAAAGGGAGGTGGAGCTGCATTCAGGTGTTGTAGAGACATCCGCCGGGCCTTGCCACACAGCAGGAAGTTCCTTGCGGCCCTGCCTGCAAAGGAACGATACTCTTCACACCTTCCTGTCTTCCACATCCATCACACGGACCCCAGCAGATGTAGAGAAAGGGAAAATTGTATACAATGTTATCAGGAATGTAAATTAATGCAACCATGGTGCAAAACAATGTAGAGATTTTTTTATTTATCTTAAAATTGCAGCTTCCATATGATCCAGAAATCTCACTACTGGACACACAACAAAAGACCTGAACTCATTGTCACAATGGAACCTGCTCCACAGCTTACAGCAGCACTGCTCACAATGGCCAAGATTTGAAATCAACCAAGATGTCCATCATCAGATGAATGGATAAAGAAAATATGGCATAAACACACAATAGAATATTATTCAACTACCAAAAGAGTCAAGTTCTCTCATGTGCACCCAAATGGTTGAAACTGGAGGACATCATGCTGAGTGAAATGAGCCAGACATTAAAACAAATACCGCACGCTGTCTCATGTGGGAGCTAAAAATTTAAACAGTAAACCTTCCCTCTGAACACAGAATGTTATGACTGGAGGCCAGAGAAGAAGAGGAGTTAAAGGAGTTGTTACCAAGATAAAGAGAGGGACTGAGAGTGGGAGGGGTTCAGTGTCAGGCATGACATCCCCTCAGTTCCTGACTCTGAGGACCCTGGGACAGGTAGGTGGGTGCCCTGGCTGTGGGAGCTGCACCCCACTGAACCCTGACCTCTGTCCCACAAACAGGACTCTAGGCCTCCACCTGAAAGGAGCTGGACTCTGCCCCAAGCTCCAAGGAGGCTGGAGGAGGACTCCAACCTCAAGAGGACAGCTCAGCTCTGTGAGAGCCTGCCCAGGAGCACGGCCACACCAGGCTTGGACTCTGACCAGGGGATGGGAACAGGGAGGAGTGTGGTTCTGAGCACCCAGGTGTGGTAACCTGTGATGCAGGAATGGAAAGCTAGCCATACCTGGGTCCCAGTGTGCACCTGACATCCCAGGAAGTGTCATCCTTGTTGGAGGGATTCGTGAACTCTGGTGAACACTCCTCCCATGAGACAAAACCTTCCCTAATGTTTGTTGCACTGGTTTTTATGCTTGTCACATGATGCAATTAAACACTAATACAATCTTATTTGGCTCTTTGGATTAATTGAGTGCCTTTTGTCAGCATCTCTGTGTGCTGGGGTTACAGCTTTGACCAACAGCCCTAAGTCTGTGCTTATGGGCCTACATTCTAGAGGTTTCTCTAAAGCGAGATGGAGCCATTTCAGTGAGTTACCTAACAGTCTACTTGTTTATATGAAAGGCAGTGTCAGGGAAGGCACTGTGGCGCTGGGTAGGTTAACCACCCCAGATGAGAGCACCTGTGTGACTCCTGACTGCCCTGCTCGCTGCTAGCTCACCTGGGAAAGCAGGGCAAGATGGCCCATGTGCTTGGGTCCCTGCAACCACAAGGAGACCTAGATGGAGCTGTGGGCTCTGGCTCCAGCAGAGGACACAGCAACACTTGGAGAGTGATTCAGCGGTTTGAAATCCCTTAATTTCCGATGCCTTCCCAGGTACATCAAGAAGAAGGTGGATGGAAGCAGAACAGCCTGGACTTCAAGAAGCCCCGGGATATGTGGTGCTGGCCTTGCAAATGACATTTAACTCACAGCACCACAGCAAACGCTGCTGCTGGGCTGTTTTCATGAAGCAATGATCCCCCTGACTCACATCAGCGAGTCAGCTGACCACAGCAGAAATGACGGTCCCTGGGTGGCAAAAGAGCGACCATGCTAGGGCCCTAGTTCAGGACTGAGAGGGGGGTGGGAGAAAAGGCAATTATAAAGGAAGAGCTAAGAGGAGGTGAGGACAGGGGCAGAAGTCTGGGTGGTTTTTTTTTTTTTAAGATTTATTTCTTTTTAATAGAAAGTCAGATATACAAAGAGAAGGAGAGACAGAGAAGAAGGGTTCACTCCCCAAGTGGTCACAAACGGCTGGAGCTGAGCCAATCCGAAGCCAGAAGTCCAGAGCTTCTTCTGGGTCTCCCATGGGATCTAGGGTCACAAGGCTTTGGGCCTTCCTAACTGCTTTCCCAGGCCACAGGAAGGGAATGAGATGGGAAGCAGAGTTGCCAGGATTAGAACAGGCTTCCATACGAGATACAGGCACGTGGAAGACAGAACTTTAGCCTCTAGACCACCACACAGGGCCCAGAGCTCAGGATTCTAAAGCAGCAGGTGCTCAGGTATCAACATGCTGTGTCCTGAATATTAACATGAACCTTCACAGAGCCCAGCTGGGATCCCAACATTCTGTATTTAATGCATCCTGTGGGGCTGCCTGAAATCTAACGTACTCCTGATGTGAATCAAGTTGAAGAATAAAACATGCACAGGCCTAGATATAATCATAAAAATAGACAAATAAAAATGGACAATCCGGATCAGGTCTCTCAGGATCCCTCAGCCAGCTCCGGACCTACTCTCAGGGAGGAGACATCACTTAGGCCTGGGCAGCCGGGCACAGGGTCAGGGCACAGTCCTGGGCACAGGACTGGCCCTCAGGGTCTCAGTCCCAGGGCGGGTCTGGGCCAGGGAAGCAAGTGCAGGGGAGTCCCCACCTCCTCCAGGGAAACTGCCTCTCACAGCCTGAATAAGCTCCTCCCGTGACGCGGGCACACCTCACACTCCCATTGAGCGGGCGGTTTCCAGAGGAGCCAATCAGCGCCGTCCGGTCCCGGTTATAAAGTCGGCTGCGAGCGAGGCTTCAGGATCAGACTCCTCTCAGCCCCCCAGGATGGGGTCCATGTCGCCCCGGACCCTCCTCCTGCTGCTCGCGGGGGCCCTGGCCCTGACCGAGACCCGGGCGTGTGAGTGCGGGTCGGGAGGGAGACGGGCTCTGCGGGGCAGGAGCGAGGGGAGCGCGGAGGGGACACAGGACCCCGGGGGCCGCCTCTCCCAGACCTCACACCCCCTACACCTCGCCATCTCACCGACCCCGGCTTATTCAAGACCCTCCCTTCTCCTCGCCGCCTCATCTCGCGGTCCCCACACTTCCTTAGTCTCCGCCCCAACCCAGCTCCGCACTCCTCGGTCCCAAGTGTCCCGCTCCGGGCGGGGTCGGCCCTGGTCTCAGCCCCTCTCTCCCCCAGGCTCGCACTCCCTGACGTATTTCCACACCGCCGTGTCCCGGCCCGAACTCGGGGAGCCCCGCTTCATCACCGTGGGCTACGTGGACGACACGCAGTTCGTGCGCTTCGACAGCGACGCCGGGAACCCGAGAAAGGAACCCAGTGTGCCGTGGATGCAGCAGTTGGAGCCCGAATACTGGGAGCGGGAGACACAGATTTCCAAGAAAAACGCACAGTTTTACCGCGATGGCCTGAACACCCTGCGCAGCTACTACAACCAGAGCGAGGGCGGTGAGTGACCCGACCCTCCCCACGTGCGCCCAGGGTGCTCCGGGTCCCCGGGGCCGAGGTCCCCCACCCCGAGACTGCGCGCCCCGCGGAGACCCTCGGCGGGAGGAGCCCGCGGGGCGCAACCTGGTTTCCTTTTCGGTTTTGGCCGAAATCCCCGCGGGTCGGTGAGGGCGGGGCGGAGCTGCGTGGCCAGGGCTGACCGCGGGCGGGACAGGCTCTCACACCATCCAGAGGATGTACGGCTGCGAGGTCGGGGCGGATGGGCGCCTCCTCCGCGGGTACAGCCTCGACGCCTATGATGGCAAGGACTACCTCCCCATGAATGAGGACCTGCGCTCCTGGACCGCGGCCGACATGGCAGCTCAGATCACCAAGCGCAAGTGGGAGGCTGCTGGTGATGCTGAGCACTACAGGGCCTACCTGGAGGTCACGTGCGTGGGCTGGCTGCGCAGATACCTGGAGATGGGAAAGGACACTCTGCAGAGAGCAGGTGCGCGGGGCTGGGAGGGGCCGCCCTCACCCACCTCCCCCGGGGCTGGGGCAGCAAGGAGGGGAGGAAAGTGGGAGCCAGGCCAGCGTCCCCGTCTCCACCTCGGTTTGGGGTTTGTGGTTCAGAGCCAGACACCCACTGTTCCCTTAGGAAAGGAGGGACCTAGGGAAAGATGGGGGGAAGGCACAGAAAATTCTGGAAAGAACTCTCTTTGTGCCCTGGACTCCACCAAGATTTTGTGAACCATGACCCTTCCCAGGCCAGTCTTCACCCTGGAGCCAGTGAACTGGGAGGTTTCATTCCAGGCTATCTTCCACTCAGAGACCTGGGCACTCCTACCCTAGTCAGATACCTGATTCTAGAACTTTCCAAACACTAGATTACCACATTGTCGCATTGTCTTTATCCAGGCAGGGTCAGGGTTTTGACCTCCTCCACCACCCCATTTCCCCTGTCCACTCTCAGGAAGGTCACTGAGTGTAACTTTAGTGTCAGGGGAAGAACAAAAAAGGCCTGAATTGTCCACATCTTCCCTCAGACCCACCCAGAGCACATGTGACCCACCACCCAGTCTCTGACCAGAAGGCCACCCTGAGGTGCTGGGCCCTCGGCTTCTACCCCAAGCACATCACACTCACCTGGCGCCGAAATGGGGAGGACCTGACCCAGGACACAGAGCTGGTGGAGACCAGGCCTGCAGGGGATGGAACCTTCCAGAAGTGGGCAGCTGTGCTGGTGCCTTCTGGAGAGGAGCAGAGATACACATGCCACGTGGAGCATAAGGGGTTGCCTGAGCCCCTCTCCGTGAGTTGGGGTAAGGAGGACGGAAGGATGGAGTCTCCAGCAAGGGTGGGAATGAGCCCTGGGGTCAGAGCTCCTTATTGTCCCTTCCCCTCTCAGAGCCTCCTCGGCCCACTGTGCCCATGTGGGGAGTCATCGCTGGCCTGGTTCTCCTGGCAGCTGTGCTCATTGGAGCTGTGGTCACTGCTGTGATGATGAGGAGGATTCGCTCAGGTAGGGCAGGGTGAGGGCTGGGTCTGAGTCTCCTGTCCCCAGAGAGAAGGTCTCCCTACCCCGTTTCTGGGAAGGACTGTGCACACACACCTGCACCCCTAGCTGAGACCCTGGGTGCTCACACTGGCTCTAGTGTAAATCTTGAATGAAGGTGGAGGACAGACACTCCACGGGGATGACACTGCTCATGGGGACCCAAGTTCCAGCAGCCCCAGGTCAGGGGGAGGTCCCAGCTGAGGACACACCTCCAGGAGAGGCACCTCCTGACCCTGTCCTGGGTCTTGAATCATAGTTCTAGAAACTTCTCTGATATGAACCAGTCCTGTGGCCCTGCCTTCTCCCTGCCTCTCACTGGATGTTTTCTCTCACAGGTGGGGAAGCAGGGAGCTACACTAGGGCTGCAGGTAAGCACTGGGGTGTGTTTGGGGTGGGGGAGTCCCCAAAGCCCTTGCCCTAGTCAGGTGCCCCTGGAGGTGCTGCCCACCCACCCTGTAGCTCCTCCCTCAGTCACACCCCCGGGACTCTCACCAAGTCCTGATTGGTTCTCCCAGGTGGGGACAGTGCCCAGGGCTCCGACCCCTTCTGAAAGTTTGAAAGGTGAGACCTGGAGGGCCTGGAGGGGAGAGGGGACCCGGGTGAGGGGACTCAGAGAGGCTGGGGGATTCCTTGAATCTGGACATTTTCACAGTGTGCTTTGCTGTTCCTGTCCCCATACACTGTTGGCAACGCGCCCGCATCGCCGTGTACCCCGAGCCGAGTGGAGGGACTAGGGTTATGAGACAGACAAAACAGACAACACACAGTGGCTCATTCTTGTGAAGAGAATGCCCGTTTATTCAAAGTCAAGCTGCATCTTTATAGTCTGCATGGCCCCTCCCAGCACTTTCCCAATGCTCAAGCAACACCTAAGCTCCCCTGAGGGCACATAAAAAGGGAAAGCAGGAAGGAGGGAACTTGCAGTCAAGTCAGGGGCTAAATGTATCAGACCAAGATTGCCCATCCTGTTACACCTTGAAAAACAAGCTAAGTTGTGGAGTTAACCCTTGGGAGACCAGGGCCTACAATAAACAATGACCTCAAATTTTCACCTTGTGTCTGTAGTGTGAGACAACCGCCTTGTTGGGACAGACTTGCTGAAGTCTTCATCTTGGTTTTCTTCAAAAAGCTCTGCCATCCCTTCCTGCCAAGGCAGCTGAGTGTGTTCCTGTGGGCACAGTGTGAGGAGGGAGCCTGGCCCTCCCAGCCCAGCACGGGCACCTCTGTCCCTGTCTCAAGTGGATCATCTGCTGCAGCTTCATCCTTCCCTGTGCAATTATTTTTTCCAATTCCAGTCATGAGGTGTTGGTGAGAAAATTAACACGAAAATTCCAAAAAATTGGACAGAGAAAATAAACAGAAGCACCAGGAACCTTCCAGAACCTGCGTTTCCTTTGTTGACTGTGTTGCAGAAGGGGACAGGAGAGGTTGGGAGGCTCTGGAAGGACGGTGCTGTACCCAGGCAGTGCTCAGCCCATCAGGCTTTGCCTTGGAGATTGCTGACCCGGCCCAGCTGCCCCTGCGTCCTGGTCTCTCTGGTAGGACATGCTCACCAATACCTGCCATCACAGCACTCAGCCATGGCCAGTCTGCCCTGTCACATGGACCCAAGGCTATGGAGGCTGCATGGGGCCATGGCGTCAAATCTAGAGCTTAAGTTCATCCCTCAGCTCCATCTTCCTGTGTTCACTTTGTTCCTTAGTGTCATTGGCTGATTGTATCTGCTCTTCCTGTGTGTGAGCTCTGGTGGCCTTCACTTCTGTGTGTGCAGGACACAGTGTAGGAGGGAAGCAGGAAGGCAGAGGGCACTTGTGAGAAAGCACAGGCCATAGGGACACCAGCAGGAGAAGACCTGCTTTGCAGCGGCCACAAGCAGCCTCTGTCTCAGGCTCCACTGATGAACCATGGGGTCTGGAAGGGCAGGTGCTACATACTCATCACTCAGCTGACTTTGCTGTGGGTCAGACTCAGTGCTGGGCAAGGTGGTCCAGGTGTGAGGGCCAGAGCAGCTGGCTGTCTCACCATCATGGTCAGTGTGCACTGTCCCAAGGAAGGTGACCCTGAGTAAGGATGGAAGGACGCAGCCCTTATTCAAAGCTCTAAGGGCTCCTGCTGTGTCCAGGCAGGGATGCCAGTTACTGTGTGAGTATGGGCATGGGCAGAGGTGGGAGAGATGAGGTTCTGGATCCTTCTGCAGATGGATGCACAGCACTTCCAGTGGACTGAATCCAGGGAAAGAGGAGGAGTTAAGAGGACACCCAGGACTGCAGGTCGTGCCAGTGGGGGGATGGCATCATAGTGGGAGAAGAGCAGCCTGGGAGGGTGCATTCCATAAGGTTCCACCCAGGCATTCAGTGCAGAAACCAGGATGTTGGTAAGAAGTGAGTGACACTGCAGGGCTGGCAGTGACCACAAGTCAGATGACGAAGGGAAATGTCTGTGTGGGAGACTCACTGAGGAGTCGGCTCCATATGAACCACATTTACATTCAGGAGCAGAGATGGAGCACCCAGGGAATGAGTGAGAGTGATGAAAGAGGGTGCAAGAAGGAGCACTGGGCCTGCAGGGCTAAGTCGAGGAGGAGAGAGAGGGGGTAAAACCACAGCCCCACTACCTGCAGGGCTAGGGTCACTGTAAGAACCAGGGTCCACAGACATGTTGAGGGGATCTCGTGAGTTCTAGGAGAGCTGGGACAGTCTGGAGCGACCAGGGGGTCTGCAAGTGGCTCAGGTGGGTGCTGATGGCACTGCCTCCAGAGCACACTCTGGCAGCAGGAGGGAGACAGGACTCCCACTTGGACCTCAGCATCCCCTGAAAGATGGTCAAATGAGCACACCTGGGCCCTGGACACCACACAGTGAGGGTCTGCTCTGGCAGAGACCTGGGTGCAGGTAGCCTAGTTTACAGCAGTGTCGCTTATGATCAGGGTTACAAAGTGGGAAACACATACACCTGGTTCTGAGCCACACCTCCCCCTGACCTCTGACCTTCTCCAGGCTATAGTGCTGGGCAATGGTGCCAGACAGAGAAGGGAGTCCCAAGTCCAGGCCTCAACCTTCACCAGACACCTTCCTGGTTAGCTGGGATTTTGGAGGGAGGGGCAGTCACTACATTCTTACCTTGTGATGTTTCAGCTCCCAGTGTTCACATCCGGAAAAGGCACAGACAAGGTCTAAGTTGCCTGTGTTCTCTGAGAGCCCCAAGATCAACATTGCTGTCACCCACACTGGGAACCCCTGGGCCTGTGAAAAAGATAGTGGAGGCATAAAAAATTATTTTTATCTATTTGAAGTTGTTTTTTGTCTTTTTGAAAAGGAGAGTGTTCTCCCATACCCTGACATCCACAAATGTCCACAAGCTGGGGGTGGGGTAAGCCAAAGCCCAGAACACAAACTCAGTCCAGGGGTCCTCGTGCATCATCTGCTGCCTCCCAGGGCGTGCACTGGGTGGACGCTTGGCAGAAAGTAGAGCCAGGACTCCAACTGAGCACTGAGATGGGATTTGGCATCCCAAGTTGCATCTCCACTCCTGTGCCAAGTGCTCACACCTATGTCCATGGTTCTCAGTAAGGGTTAAATAAAGGGCACAGCTGGTCAGTGTGACACAGGACATTGGAGATACACAGTACCCTCTCTCCTGGTGAGGCAGAGCAGGAGGAAGGTTCAGGAAGAGCACACAGCTGAGAACATGAAACCTCCCAGGATCCTGCTGCCTCACATGGTGCCCCACACAGATTCTCATGTCTTGAAGCCCACAGTGAAATCCAGAAGTTGCTAAGTTACCCTTCCCTTGGCTGTGTGACACTGTAGCTGACTGAAGGCAGAGGAAATGCAGAGAACCTGGTTGAGGCTGCACAGCCAGGAGCAGAATTCATGGCCTCACCCTGGGAGGTCCCAGCTGGGAACCACAGCCCTGCTGCTGGGCACAGAGGGCACAGCTCGCACCCTTGACCCTGACCCTGGCCTTGGGCCTGCACTAGGACTGCAGTCCATGCTGACATCCTGGGCGTCCTGCATTTAGCAGCTCTGAGGTGTGACAGAAATGCTTCTGTTTGCTCCAGAGGAGACAAGGTTCACTTCCTGACTCTCCCTCAGAATTCTTCTTTCTATGGGTCAGTGAGGGAGGGGCTTTTCCTCTCTCCGAGGAGGTGTCTGCTTCTCTGACACCAACTAGCAGTCCTGCCCTGAATCCTGGCAGGGACACCTGCAGTTAGTGTCCAACCCGCAGGTTCCAGGCCCATCCCTGACACTGCCCTCACCTCCCAGGCCAGCTGCCCTCAACTCCCACCTTGGTTGCCTGCTCTTCTGACCACTGTGGCTACAACGTTGAGGTTTTGCACAGTGTTCCTCCCAGGTTGGATCATGTCCTGTAAAAACTCCCAGACCCCAGGCAGAAATTGTACTTCCTGTTGCAGTCTACACCAAGGTCACAGAGGGGCAGCCAGATGAGCACAAGGTCTACAAGGGTCCTGGTGTCAGGGTCTCTGTGTCCGTGGAGCTGGGCTGCAGCCCCTCCCACCAGCCGACTGCATGGCCAGTCCAGGGGCTCTTCCCGACCCTTCCTTAGAGGTGTCCATGGAGCTTTCCTTGCAGAGTCTTTCTCGTAAGATTATTTATCTGTTTGAGAGGTGAAGACTGACAGACCCATGAGAGGCTCCCCTCCACTGGCTCACTTCCCAGGAACAAGTGAGGGCAGTTTTGTCTCCCTCATGTGCCCTGAGGACGGCCTCATCCACTGAAAACTAAAAATAATAGGGGAAATCTGAAAGAATTTACAACACTGAATAAACAAGAGAATAAGCATTTAAGACAAGACATAAAGGGGTACAGACATTAACATGGAAAAGTTGTTTTTATTTTGGGGCACTAGACAAATTCAGACAATCCCAGCTCTGATTCCCTCAGGCTTTTGGCTGCAGCAGATCAGACAGGAGCCCAGAATCCTTCCTGGGGGATCTGATAGGAGACGCTCCTGCTCCCTCAGAAACTGGGGAACATGAACTTCACATCTCTGAGAGGCAGACACATGAGAACATGTGCTTCAGCCCCTGTGTGAACCAGGTCTTCCCATTCACAACAGCTATAACAAGTGAAATGCCTTGGGGTGAGTTTAGCCAAGGATGTGAAAGATCTCGACAGTGAAAGTCACACAACTTCAATGAAAGAACATGAGACACAAACAATGGGGAAAATCTTCCAGGATTCTGAATGAGAAGAATTAATATGATCCAAATATCCATGGTGCCCCAAGCAATTTACAGATTCACGGTGATCCTCCCACAAAAAAGTACCAAGGTCATTGTTCACAGGGAAACAAGAACAAACCAAATCCCAGGTTAACAGGAGGAGAGAGATCAGAATCAGAGCAAATATAAATGAAAGTAAAATGAAGGGAAATGTGAAAGGTAAACAAAAATATAGATTGGTTTTTACAAAAACA